CGAAGAACGAACTGAGTCGTTCACCGGATCGTCTCGAGCTACGCGTCGCCCGAGCGTGGACCGAGACGGAGCGACGCGGTGTCCGGTCCGGTCCGGCGGAGGCCCGCGAAAAGAAGTCGGTGAACTTCGACGAGGTGCGAAGTGTATTGGCGCGTTGCAGGAAGAGAAGATTCAGAGATAGATGAGATATGATGAGAGACATATAGACAAGGACAATGAAAGGTAATATGCATGTTCTTGGAAAACATCAAGGAACTGCTGGTGTTCAGGCCATCGAAGCTGCAGAGCCATTAAAACACATTAAAACACAACACTTGACTTCTCTGGACTCCGAGGGTGTCCTCTTCCAGCGATGTCGTTGAAGCTGTTTTCAGGGAAAGGGTGGGGAAGTCTAGAGGTCCTCCCATCGTTTTCGAACCCATTGGACCTCATCTTTTTTCGCTCCGAAACAGGGGTCCATCACTCGATACAATGGGATCATGGCGGGATCACTCTTTTTTATATGACCTGCATCATCCAATGGGTCACCAATAGACGGGCCCCTACGCTAGCCATGGATCTTTAGACAGCACACCCAGGTCGTAGGTCGTAACCATGTAATAGCTATAGGCTATATGCAATATGTGTGCAAAAATGAAGTTCCAAACTTGGAGGGTGCCGCCGGGGTGTCCAGAACTCACATCCGCCCCGACGGATGGGACGCACCAAAACCACCCAAGGCCCGTGCGGCCGTGACTCCTCAGTGCTCCCCCGGGCGCACGAAGCCGCGAAGCCGCGGCTGGCCCCGCACCAGGTCGTGCCGAGGCCCGAGTACATCGAAGAGAGGCGAGAACGAACGCGGAGCGGCGCCCCGCACCGAACCTCCGGCGCGGTTTGGCTGATCGGAGCAGTGTCAAGTATTAGACCAGACCGTTGGACCGAAAGCCGCCCAGTTGAAATCCAAACGACTGACTCATGTTGTTTTCCCCCCATCACGCATCTTCCAGACTCTGTTTGCTCATTCCTACCTCCAGCACCGCCCAGCGCGCCCAGCGCGCCGCCCAGCGTGGACCAAGCGGGCAGGCCACCGTCCACGGAGCCCATCGCCACATGCCTCTCGGCGTCGATGGGACGACCGGTCCGCAGGCGGTGGGTCTTTTGGATGTTCGAGGCCGGGCTTTTGGGATGTTCCCGAAAGCCCTCCCTCCTGGCCTGGGGTCTTCCGGGGTTCTTTGCGGAAGCAAGTCAAAGGTTTCGGGTGTTTCTTCTTCCATGATCTGTGGAAAGCGTCCGTGCGTCACCAATGGCAGCTGCTCCACCAAGGCGATCCCATTGCGCCCGAGGCCAGTGCTATCGGTGTCAACCAATTTGCGGAAGAGTTACGTTAAAAGTCTGTTTTGGGGTGACTCTCTTGACTGTTTGCGTGGGGGAGGGTCGTCTTCGGGTTCATTTGGTCTTGGTCGTCGTAGTTTCACGGGTGTAGAAAGATTGCATGATCGTGCTAGTTCAGCTTCGGCTTTGTGCGGTTTTTCTTATGGTGGTGGAAGGTCAAGGTTCCCATATGAGTGGCATCTCGACTGCCACCAAAAAGAAAGCTCCATTGAACAGCCGAAAGCCTCTCAAATCTCCCTGACCCGTAGTGCTTCTAAGCTGTTTCCACTGCTTTTGGCCTCCAGGAGGACATGGAGGCGCATCATGAGCGCATCAAGGTCTCTCGAGCCTCTTGGACGCTGGTTTCTCTTGGCAACCGGACCAGGAGGGTTCTCCGGTGGCGGGCCGGGTGGGGTCGGGGTCGGTCCCTTGTTTTGTTCCCCAGCAACTCCGAGGTTCACCATCACCACGGACCGTTCTCTCCAAGATGGCACGCCTCTTCTCTTTCGTTTGACGCTTTTGGACCGTTCTTTCGTTCGAAGGTCCGAATCAGGTGGGACCCGCCGATTTCCCGTCGATCGAATGAGCGCCATGACCCCTCCCTTTGGCAGCGCTTCTCGTGGCCGAGACCGACCCGTGTGGGAGCTCGCTCCCGCCATGCTCGGGGGGGGGGGCGCTCCACGAGCCCCGAACGGTCCCCGTTCACCGAACCACTCCGATCTCCGCCGCGCGGAGCTTGAAGAAGCGAAGGTCACCACGAATGAAGTGAGACGAGAACTGTCCTTCAAGCGCCACGAACGCCAGGCGCCGGCCGGCGCGGCGCGAACGTTGCGTCGGCCTGGAGACGAGAGTTGTTCTTTTTGGGGGGGGGCGGCCTGGGTGGCGGGGTGCCTTCCTTAGTCTTGACTGGATGGCTAATCGGTCTTTGCTTTTGGCCAGTTCACTGGCCTAGAAGGGAGGTGCTGGCTAGCATTGGCAGCGTCGAAGCAGTGCTGAGCAGCACTCAGCAGAAGTGAAGTTTTGCTTAGACAAGGGGTGGTGGGTGGACTTTAGCATGCACAAAAGGAGTCAGAGTCAATGTCATGTGATCGGGTAGATGCTGGCACTTGCATGGATCGTTGGCTATTTAACCGTCTATAGATGCGAGTTCGGAGCCTAAAGCCAACACTCTGGAAGGCTTGTCAGACACCTCATTCCATGACCCTTCAAACTCATTGTGACTCTGCTGAATCACACAGAAAAAAGCATGGTTGGGTCCTCCTTAGCAGCGATCGCCTTCAGTATGTCCAACACTTTGGGGGGGGAACTGTTTGCTCCAAAGCACGAAGACAGCACTTGAAGACAGAACTTGAAGGGACGTATCATCTTCCCAAGGACGTCAGGGAGACTTCCAGAAGTTTGGCACCATGTTTACTGATGTTCACAACAAAATACATAAATAAAAGATATAAAAGGAAAATGTTCACTGATGTACACTGAGGCACCATGTTCACAACAAAATATCAAGGAACACTCGCACTGCTCACCCGGAGAGTACGGGTGCCACGCAGCGGCTTCCTTCCGTCCAGGGCGACGCGGCCAGCCAGAATGAGTCTCTGGCGGCGTCCAAGTGGCTGAGCAGCGATGAAGGGGCACGCGAGGGTTCTTTTTGTGGTGTGGGTCGATGAAGGGGGCAGGGGAGAAGAATCAAGGGGACAACATAACCGACAAGAATGTTCCACAAAGCAGACAAAGGGCCTCAAGTCCAGAAGGCCTCATGTAAAGGGGCCTTCTTATTACAGTATTTGATGTTTAATTCTTAGATATTCTTAGTAGCAAGCAAACCTGGTAAGCCAGTAGCATCGTAGGCTTCACCAAGTATGTTCCATGTTCCCAGCCTCTCGCGGTTGGGTGGTACTTGACCTTTTCTTTTGTGGTGCCACATGCGGAGACAGCCCGGCATTGGGAGCGATCCTTCAGACATGGAGACGGATGGAGACGTTGTCTCAACGGGTTGGTGTCAAAGAGCTAAGTGATGAGACCATTCTCATCACTCTAAAGGCCAGCTATGTGCTGCGGTGTTGAGGTTGAATCAAAAACACATCTGTCGACACACATGATCTTCGCCTCGGCACCTTTTTACCCGTTTTTACCGCTGCCTTTGCCACTGAGGATGAACATGCTCAAAAGAAATCCCTTTGATGGTCCGCCACGCCACATTTTACACGGTCGTCGTGGGGCTTGCAGGTTCTTGAACAGTCGCATTATGTCGCCATTAGTGTCACCATTGCTTGTGGAGGAGCATTCATTCAGGGGAATGGGTCCATGCCAGAGCAAGCTGATTCGCTGATTCCATACCTGCCGTAGATACTACCCGTGCCCTCATGGAACCAATGTAATCAATCTATCAATGGCAACTCTTTGTGTCATACTGGGCCGATGGTTCACACAAGGCTGGCCAGGAGAATCCCAGTATTACTGTACCTCTTTGTCGATCCTTGAGTGGAAATTTGGAACCCCTCCCAACACTCTACTTGTAACATCTTGTAACCCTGCAGCTGTGGCTGCAACCCACTCCTCATGGGTTGCTGCCCAACGCGCCCGAACTCTCGCCAGAAAGTGAAAATGCCTCAAAGCGGAAAAGCTTCGGCCAGCCGCTTGTGCTGCATTTTGGTGTCATGTCGTATGCGTGAAAGTGAGCGCTTGACAAGCCAAATGATCTTACTTGTTTTTCTTGGTTTGGCAAGCTGATTGGGGGTTAGGGGGCCCGGCTTGCGGCTAGTAAAGGTGAATCTGGAAAATCTGTGAATGTTGGCAGGATTAAAATCAGAAGATCAACAGCAGAGTTGGATTAAACTTGCTTCTAATATCTTCTATTCCACCAAAGGTTCGGATCTACACGGGTTCTTTATGTCTTTTTAATAATGTGCATCTATCTTGCTGGCATGTATCTTCTGCATCCAGCGGATTCATCCCATCCCGGGCCTACGACCTACGTACGACCTACGACCTACGTCTCTCTCCACCCGCCGCGGAGGTCCTGGAACGACGCCATTCGGATGATCACGGCCGACGAGGGCACCTGTATCCAACGGGTGGCCTCAGGCCACCGGCGAACGGGAAGGGTTGACGGACATGACGAAGGGTCGGGTGCTTGAGCGCAAGAAACCGGGGAGGGGAAGGAGGAAGGAGAAACGGTTGGAGATCTTGACATGAAACGTGGAGATCATGAAATAACTATAGGTGTCTCTCCACGGTGGATCAAGAACATGAACCTTTGGAAGTTGCAGGAAAGGGTTTGATCGTCTTTGTTAATGGGTTGTGCCCCACTTTGCTGCCATGAGAATAGACCGTGCTTGGTTTAACAGAGGCTCTCTCCGGTGCCCGGTGCTCACCCAATGAGATCAACTCCCGCTCAGAAGTCCGCCATGACTGACGAGTGTTAGCGATCACCAGGTTGCTTGCATCCGACCACTGGCAGATGGTCCCCAGCATAGACCTGTTGGAAAGTTCACATGACCAGCATCATACTGCATTTGCCACTTTGTTCCAGTTTTCATGCAGATTATCAAGATATGTATAAAGAGTGACTCGAGGTGTGTGCGAAAATTGTGTGTTGAAACTCGTCTTTCGTTCCTCTTTTAAGAGGCGTCGTCTTCAAGAGCTTGGCCATGATTGCCATCGTGGCCAACACCCTCTACCTGGGCTGGGCGGCTGACTTCAACGCCTCTCGGACGAAACCGAAACCCGACGGAACGACCGAGGTCGAGGACCCACCACCACGGGCCCTGCGAGGTCCCGGGGTCACCGGTTCGGTTCGGTGCGGGGTGACCGGTGGGTCCGAGGTGAAGAACAGCTACCGGAAGTTGCGACAGCAGCCGATCGAAGAGAAGTCCACGGCGGTGGACTGGGCCCCTTGGAGAACGGGCCGAGAAAAGAGAGGAGGTTCAAGGAGAATTGTAGGATGATTCAGTATGATGCGCAGTTCTAGAATATACTGGTAGAACTGACCTCTGTTTTGATAGGAAAAGACCATGTTTTGGGCTCCGAAACAGGGGTCAGTCAGGTTCTATAGGTATAGGGACCATTGTCACCATCATGGCTTAAAAGTGCTCCAATAGAATCAATACAATTATGTTTCTTGGTAAAAGCAACCCGCCCAACCCAAAAGAAGGCCCTTTCCACAGCAAACTACAAGAACCTTGGCCCTTCGTTTCAGCGTCAATTGGCTTTCGCCACCGGTCCAGTGGGCGTCGACGCTTTTGGTTTCGCGTCGATCGAGTCAGACCGAGTGGTCAGACCGAGAGTCGGTGAGCTCTACGGAAGAGATTGTTCAACGATTCAACGAGACTGGTCGACCAGCCTTTGTTCTCCCTAGGGCTTCAAACCTTCTGAGAAGGTGGGACTGGGGTAAGTTTTGAGGGTCCAAATACCTTCTGAGGAGGTCCCTGCAGCCCTAGGGTCTTTCTTTTGATTTGCCGTGACCGCTCCAAGGGAGCGCGAAGTGAAGACCATCCGGTGTTTGCGTGCGACGGGGTGGCCGGTCACGGTTGACCCGTCCATGGTGGGAGTGAGACCCGTGACCAGCCACCGAAAGGATCGTTGGAACCTCAATAGGGAGTGTTCGTTGGCACGGTACCTTCCCATTCTTTTTTTGTGAAGATATGTGAAGGTATGTCACACCATCGCTTCATCAGCACCTGGGAGCTTAGGAAAGACCCAACCTATGGCAGAGAACGTACGGCGTACGGACCCTGGATCCTCCGTTGGTGGTTTTTCCTCGATCGTCCGGAGCCTTCGCGTTGCGCCCCGGCCTTGAGGCCTTTGCTGGTGACTGGGCATGCGATCGGTGTGGGGTGTGTGTGGGGGTGGACGGGGTGGCGGGTCCCCCTCCGTCCACCGGGGGCAGAGCGCCCAATTCCGTCGCTCGCTTTAAGCGTCGACGCCTCCAGAAACTTCAACCTGGCTAGCACAGCCAGTATGAAAGTCGCTGGCCCCTTGGAAGGCGGTTTTCCTCTACAACTCATTCGATGCGATGTCGCCATAGTGTAGGATTACTTTGATGATCCCAGGTCTTTGGTTAAGGCTATATACTTAACCAGTATCGACCGCATCGACAGAAGACACCTGCCTCGTGGCCCTTCCCCGATCGACTGGAATGCGATCTTCCTGGTGTACTTCCTTCAAAAACACTCCAGTGGCAATACACTTTAACATGGAACCTGAGACCATGGGGTTGTAGAGGAAATAGTCTTCCAAAGGTCCATTTTCAGGTTCCCTGTGAATCTTCCCGGGTGTAGGACCCCAGATTTGCGATTCAGTGGATTTTGGAGTGGCTTCAACTTCAAAACCATAGAGTGTTTAGGCCAGCTACATGGCTTTGGATGGAAAGAGGTCATACTGATCGTACTTAATCTCATGTCTATAACCCAGTGGATCCCAGTTTCCACTATATAAGGAAATATGGTTTCTAGGTCTATAGTTTTGGTCTTTGTAACTACTGGTTGCCAGCTGTGATAACTGGATCCGCTGGGTAAGCTTCTAGTACTTTGTCTCAACATCAAACCAATGAGTGTTTACGTCTCCCACATGCTTTTCCCCCGGGGGTTTAGGCGACAGTTCCGGACCACCCTCGTGGGAACCTCCCACGCTGGTGTCAGCTGGTGTTTCACCGTGGGCTTCTGCCGCTCCAGGTTGGTTTGCCATCGAGATTATCATCCGTGCGGCCGCCGAAAAGATCCAGTTCATCACAGGCAGTCGGGCACCGGTGAGGGACCGGTGCATATGGAGGAGATAGGCAGCATCGGTGATGGTAAGTCCACACAGTTGATCACAGTTGTCTTCACTTTACCACCTTGCTGAGGGATCCTCGCCCATTTGCAGAGACCGCAACATCGGGGTCCACCCGTTTTGGACCTGAGACGAAAGATGCTTTTCAAGCGAACGGCCCGGCTGGTGAGGCAGGCAGAGCCAGCTGGGCGCCAGCCCCGAAAGGACACGAACTCATCACTCGTTTGGTCCTTATCCCAAACACTCCATGGGACTGCCATATATACCTACATTGACCCCTCATGGCCCACCCCGACTGATCGGCATATATGGCAGTCCCAAGGAGTGTATGGGTATTAGCTTATGGCGCCCAGTGACTCCGACTCATGACACCCACGAATCCCCGTGCTGCGCCCACGATCTGCGCCCGGACGGTGCACCATCGCTGGAACGTCCAGGCATTTCCTCCACCGTAGTCGACTGTAGTCGGGCCAAGGGTCGTGCGCCATGGTTGTGCTGAAACCACGGCCAAAGGTCAATGAATCTTCAAGAGAAGGGAGTGTCGACAACTGTGGCAAGTGAGATGCCAAAAGCCTTGGAGTGAATATAGTGGAACATGTCTACGAAGACCGAATAGCCGACAACTTCCAAGGGTTTGCCGTGGTTGCCCTGCCTGGCAAAGTGGTTTACCTTTCTAAAACTCACCAAACAGAGGCCTAATTAGGTGTGATTCACTCATGGGAGTCCCCAGTTAAACACAAAACTCCAGAGAGAAAACTGAAGAAGAAAGTCAAAAAAAAGACAGCGTTCAGTCAATGGTCTCTCCTGTTCAAGCCAGATGGTACGACCAGTCTTCTTCACACGTTCGCCCCTCCCCTCAAGCAGGATCGAAGAAAACCAGTCCCCTCCCCCACTCGTCCGCGTCTCGGGGGTGTGGCGAGACCGCGAGGCGACGAGAAGTTCTGGAACGCGCTGGACGTGTTCCTCGTCACGGCCGGGGACGCCCAGGGGACGCCCGGACGGCGGCGCACGCGAAGAGAGCGAAGAGAGTGGAGTGTCGAAATGGACAGGGAGAGAAGGACAACTCACCACAAAACGTCTCGAAAAACGAAAAACCTTTCAACAAATACCTCAGCCTCACCTCCGCATTGATTCTTTTCTTTCCGTCCTTTCTTTCCGACCCACCGGGCCACTTCGGTGCTGGGCTGATCCCACCGGGCCAGGAGTCGCTGATCACGTTGACCTGGGACTTCGGCGCGGGCTCCTCCTTCGCCCTGCTGCGCATCGTCCGCGTCTTCCGCCTGGTGCGCATCGTGCGGCTGGTGCGGACCGTGCAGGTCGGCGGTTAGAGCGGAGCGGTTGGAGTGGAGGAGTGGAGCTCTCCGGGAGCGGTCGGGCGGTTCGGGTGAGAGAAGACCAGTTGAGAGAAGGCAGAAGAAGCATGAAAAAGACCATGAGCGTCGTTCAAAGACCCACCTCTACCTGTTTAGTAAATGCAGTTTTTAAGTTTGAACAACCCCCACATGGATTCAGGGTGTCAGGTTCGGAAGGCATCCAAGGGTCAAAAAGGTATGTGGGCTTTCCGTACTTGCGACAGGAAGTTCCCCGGTTCCTCGCGAGTGCCTCGACATTCAGCGGGTCAATTGGAAGAGTCCCTCCTGGTGACGTTGTTTTTATACCATAGGATGCACCCTCTTTTGTCCGTACTTTCAGAGCAGACCATCCAACCACAATTACAAATGGATGTGTGATAGCACTTTGGAGTCTTTTCCACCAGAAATCGACGTCCCAAGGCAGATGATCCTTGATGTTTCAACCAAGATTGAGAAGTAGTTCACCCCTCTCAGACTTTGCAAAGCCTCACCCCAAGAGGGCTTGGGTCCCGGTCGTCGCCTTCCCCCCGCAGCGGCCCCACACCGTGCCGCGAAGGCCTTACGGAAGTTACGCCCCTGGGCGACGAGCGTGGGGAGCGTGGCGAGCGTGGGAAAGAGAGGAGAGGCGTGGGCGTTGCTTGGGCCACACGATGGGTGTGGCGCTTGAGTGGGGCAGAGCCACTGAGCCACAGAAGGTGATTTCGATGACCCCAAGCATTGGTGGTTTCAGCCACTGTTCAAGAAGGTGTTGCATTGGTGAGGTTTTTCAGGACCTTTGATGACAAACCACACTATGGCCGCAACCCAACCCCAACGTTATGGACCAATCGCGAGAGAGGAATCACCCAGACCAAAACCGATGTAAAAGGATTCAACCACTGCAGGCGAATCCAGCACCCAAAGACACCCACCACAACCAGCTTGTGCCCCCAAAGAGCCTCATGAACGTACCCTTTGACCCGTCCCCTGGATGTGGTGGGAGGCTCGTTCGCTTGGCGAGTTCGCTTGGCTTTGCTTCGCTTCTTGCTTCGCTTAGCCTCCGAGCCGGTTGAGGTACCATGATCTTTGCCATGCTCAACTCCTTCGCGGATTTGCTTTGGGCACTACAAGTGGTGCTGTTAATCGTCGCTCGGGCGCACGGTCGAAGAGCTTTGCTTTGCGGCTGCGTCTTGCTTTTTGATCTTCGTTTTTGGGTGGAATGGAATGCAGAGAGTGCTGCAGTGTCAGCTAGCAAAGTCAAAACGTGGGATTGGTTGAGATCGTAGCATGGTGTCAGTGTTTTTTGACGCGGTCTGATCCTTAAGGCTGCAAAGGTTTGACACGAAGCTGCCACAGAGGTGGAAGACTGCTTTCTGCGAAAATGTGTTCTACGGATATCCACGGATTCTGGCTGGTTCGCAGAACGCAGATGTTTTCTGGATCCAAGTCTCGGACGTATGTTGACAGCAACTCCCCCTCAAAAGTTTGTTGGATGAAGCCCTGTATGTCCCTGTATGTAATAGATGATCCTGAGGGTTGATGTTTCATGTTCGCCTTGCTTGCTCGGTTTGCTGGGTTTGGGTTTGCTCGGCACTGCCTCAGACTATGTTGGATGATCAATTGATAGTTTTGGCCGGAAGATGTTGCAAACCACGACTAGAACGTCGACGTGCATTTGTATGTCTGGAGACACTAGTCAGTTTCGCCATGTTTTGCCAGTGTTCCTCCAGTTCTCAACGCATTGGTTTGTCCAGAAAACAACCATCCGATGGAGAAATCTGCAGACAAAACCTTGTGCAGTTGGACCATCAGATGGTCAACGCAGACCAGGTCATCGTCCAAAACATATTTCATCACATTTCTGTTGAGTTGGACGCAGATCGTATCACCTCCTCTAGCGGCATACCTTCGAAGGGCGCAACACCAGAGACCCGAAACCCCGTCGACTGCCGCCGTACGGCGGCGGTCGAGTGGAGTCTCCTGGCCATCGAAAGCAACCATCGATGGCCAGAGAACGGAACCATGAGTGGGTTTGGATTCGGCCGGTTTCGATGGCACTGGCTCTCGGCTTTTGACCTGTATACACCTCCTGTCGTGACATTTGGAGAGATCTTGCGCTGCTGCGCCAGGCTGGACTTTTCCAAAGGTTCCTTATTTGGTGGTTATTTCATGACAAACGCAGAGAAAACGGAAGGGGTCAAACAACCCCTGAGCGCCTTTGGCAAAGAGGTCGAAAGCGAACCAATCGACCACACATGGAACGACCCCACCCGCGAAGTCAACCCGACGGGTCAACCCGACGGATCGCTGTTGGGATGAAGCTTCAACGGTGAACGGGGTCGGAACAGTGGGCCTTATTAATTCTAATAGCAAACATTGTTACTACTAGTAAGGCACTTGTTCCTAGAAGCGAGGCACTTGTTCGTAGCTTCTTGTTACTACTAGCCTTCGTCCGCACGGAATTTCGAGGTCTTCGTCTTTAGCTTGATCTTCAACAACGCCGCTTGGAGGGCGCTGCAAGCTACGCGGGGCAGCGGGGCAAAGCGCGTGAGAAGTAGGCATGAATTCCATGTGCGGAAAAACGTGGTAGAATCGAGGATACTTGTGGGACACGGCGCGGTGACCCGGTTATGACAGGTTCAAGAGCTGTCCATACTTTTTTCTGGATGTTATACCCTTGTGGCTTGGTTTTGAAGGTCCTCCCAGTGCTGGATAGAGGAGTAGGCTGCCATGCCGTGGGCAAATATTTTGTTGCACCTGCTCAGAGTGTTGGAGCTGGCCTTTTCTGCACCAAAGCCATGGACGTCCACAAAAGAAAAATAATATTCCCAACAAAAACGCCGGGCCGAGGCTGTTGCGGCTCACTTTGATGCAATCAGTGCAACTTGGCGATGACAGATATGGCAGATTCAGGGAGAATCCACCATCTCATACCCTCCCTTACTGAAGATTCACAGAGGTTCCCGGCGGTTCCACAAGGAGCTTCCGTGAACAGAGATGGAGCTCCAGTCGTTGGGAACTCTTCCGACTGGCACGTTGGGGTTTGGGCTGTCGTTTTGGGGATCCTTCTCCTGCGATGTGAAACTGCTTGGCTTCCAAAGAGCACAATGCCGATTTGTTGGGTCTTATTACCCAAACGCTCCATGTATACATATACGTATACCATATATGCCTACATTGGGGTGGTTTGGGGGGTCAATGTAAGCATATATGGCAGTCCCATGGAGTGTATGGGTTATAGTCAATTCCGCAACGGATCCGCCACAAATCACATGCTTGGTACCAAATCCGTGGATGTTTTTCTTTCCCAAGAGGTCCCCATGCCTTGAACCCATAAGCACGGGACCTGAATGTTGATATCTCCCTGATACACTCCCCATGATCCGCCCATTAACCTTGAAATAACCATGGACGGCATGACCACTTGGTCCGAAATGGTCGTTACCTCTTTTCCGATCCAATGGACTTCCCGAACCAAACGAAGACAGACAGGGGGGCACCGTGCCCCTCCATCTGGCCCCGCTTCTCGGTCACGTGGTGAACGCCCTCACGCCGCCACGCCGCCAGTCCACCGATCTCGTGACGGTGGAAGCGCAGTTTGACCTCAACATGCATTACGGCAGCCTCTACAGCCGCGCGGCCGGAGGAAGACCGGGGAGGTCGGACCGGTCGGACGTCGAGGTCGGGGGCGTCGTAGTTGGTTCGTCGTTTGGGCCGGAGGAATTGGAGAGGTGTGGGGTGGAAGTGCAGTCCAAGTGGCACTGAATTTGCAAAGGGAAGGAGAAGAGGGTCCCAATCCCAAGAGGCCTCCAATGTGAACCCAAGTGCAAACAGTCTTTCTGTGGGTCTGAAAAACCTGTTTTATCCTTTCGCGATGACTGGAGAGAACTCCTTGGTTCATGACTCCTTGGGTCTGAAAAAACATCTCAAAAACCGGATGAGTCTCAAGCCTTCGCCGCTCAGCGGGTTGGACCGATGAAATGGTCGACTTTGCGGGCGCCGCTTAAACCGAGGTGCGATGCGTTCGCTTTGGAGTGTGCCTTGGAGCTGCGTTCCTTTCTTTTGAGAGCGAGAGAGTGAGCTATGGATCTATGGTGTTGATAGTGTTGATTGGTTTCCCTTTGCTGAAAGTGTTGAATGCAAGTAGTGGTGTTCAAAAAAAGTAATGGGGGGGCTGAGGCTGAGGGGGAATGTTTGTCCAAGTCGATAGGGGCTCGGGAGAGGGAAAACTGAAGATAGCGCTTTTGTTGTTGGCAAAGTGTTTTTTAGATAGAACAGCATGGCACTTGCCTCTAAATCTCATCTTGGGGTTGCCCTCCACAGTCGTCTTAGATTCCTTTGGCGCATTGTATGCACCGCCCACACGACAATCGGAGCCACGCTCGAGAAGGAAGCACGCTAGCCTGTGAGGCTGTGAGTGGTGGCAATGATTGGATGTTCTATGCGGAACTCTTAAAGGATTTGAGTCGCTTGGCCATCGATATGTTTTTGGATGAAGACAAAGCGCAGACATCACAAGGGATGTGGTTTTTTGGGTTGTGAATTGCACAAGTTGTGCCTCCGTGAAGGGTACAAAGTTGTTCTGAAGCCCTTTCTTGCTAGTACGGAGCTGTGGGTGGTTCTTGGGCCAAACGAAGCAGGGTCAGAAAAGTGTTCCTTTCACCCTACATACCCTGTCACGCATGGTGCTTTGATCGGGATGTTTAAAGTACGTAATAGTATTTGAGTATACCAAGACCATCCAATGGGTGTCCAATGGACTACCCTACAATACTTAGAGATGTCCAGACAGTACATCCAGACCGGATGGTGAACGATATCACTGTAGTTGTTCATCATGTTCGGCCAATGCACTCACCCATGTTCGATCATCACACACACCGACGTGCCCCCGTGCTCCGTGCCCCCCCCCCCCGTGCAACGCACAACAAACCTCGGACGCCTTGTCCGGGGAAGGAGGAACGATGCCTGGTCCGGCGCAAAGCCCGAGGTCCCGGGATGGGCGAATTCTACTTTTTGGTCTTCAACTTCTACATCGCATTCTGTGCCTTGGGAGTTGTTTTGGCCCGAGCGTTGGCCCCAAAGCAAAAAAAGAGAGCCTGCCAACGCGAGAAAAACTGTATAACTCTCGAAATCTCTTGAAAGGTATATAAACACGAAAGCCCGTGGGAAGATGTTTGAGCGACAGGTCCGTTGGCACGTGTGACTCCGTTTCGCATGGTCCACCTGTCACCATGCTCCCACCTGTTGGGCTGCCAGCTCAAGCCTCAATTTTGCCTTTTGAGGCGAGGAAGTTGGGGTTCTCCAGATTCCAGATCTCTTGATTGGCGAAACTGCCGCGAGCCATCCGCGAGCTGATCTGAGGCGTGGTCGGTCTCTTCAACGTGGTCACGGGTGTTTTCGTGGACAGCGCCGTGTGCACCCGCACGGAGGATGAGATCGTGCAGGCCATGGAAAGAAGTGGGCCAGAAGTGGGCAGAAGTGGAAAGCGGGGTCGGATGAGATCGTGGCACTTGGATTCCCAGAACGAGGTTTCTCTTCAACGCGGCCGGTGACCAAGAGTTTTAAACGAAGCGGAGCAAGTCTCCCTTGAACCGATCGGTCTCACTCAGGTGGGCGAAGCATACAGGGGGCGATACGCATGGATGGCACCATAACTCCTCGGTCGCTCCTAGAGAACGGTGCCACTCAGTTCTTCACTGTGAGAACAAACCCGATCATCGAGTCGGCAGTAGGGGGACAGGTGGCCGGAGGTGATCCCCTCGTTGAGCTTCCGTAGCTGGCGTTTTGACCCGTGACGGGCTAGTCTTAAACACCACCTCGGCAAAAGCAAGGAGCTGAGGATGGCCGAGATTCCCCGCAGTTGCGTGTGTAGATCGAACACCAGCTTTGAAGCAACATAGAAAAGCAAACCAATTGCCTCCCGAGTCACCCCAACGCATTGCCAGAGTCCACAGGCGCACAGGTTCCGGATGCGGACCAGGTCCGTCCAAAAGCGACGTTTCGCGGCGCACGCGGCCGAAGCGAGGGCTACTTGGATGAGATGAAGTCCATGACCGAATCGATCAAAGGTTTCTTGAAAAAGGCCGACAAGGTGCGATCGCCGAGTCGGGAGCCGGGTCGGCACCGGAAAGGGATGTTCGGGAGGGTCTCTTCCTTGCTTCCTTTCGCGGAGCCGAAACTTTGCACAGCTGAGAGATCGATAGTTGAAACGGCCCAAGCCTACTGTGTTGTGATTTCTTCGCTGTTCGTGCCTCAAGAGTGGCGCTATCACCCTGAACAAGTTTTATGGATCCAGTGTGCTTCAAACATGTTCAAACTCTTGTTTTGGGCGCACAGACAGAAGTTCTGCGCCGTCTCAAAGATCCAATCATTGTTTTACCGGTTTGCCCTGTCCTAAGGCCTATCTCCTTGTCAAACAAAAGCGGATCAAGACATGTTGACCAGATCCATCCAGATCCCTTGGTTGAGATCGCCTAGCGGCCTAGCTAGGATCTGAACTTTCTGCGAAGTGTTTTGCGACTTGATAACCAAATCCAAAGGACTCTGGTTTGCTCAAGTCCACTGAGCAATCACATATGTCCCCTAACAAAAGATGCACACCGCAGGAAAAAAAATTGCATGTCCCACCCTCTCCTGCTCTCGGCTCACTTGGATGCACCTGTGGCCAGGATGCATCGGGCACATTGACCTATGAGGAGTTTCAAGCACACATGTCCAACCCAGTCGCTGGGGTCCCCAGGATCTTGGCGAACCGTGACAAGTCCAGGAAGAGAGACGCAAGACGCGAGAGAGAGAGAGAGAGAGAGAGACCTGTGAAGGGATGGAGAAGAATTGTGAGACTCATGAAAATCCTGTCGTTGCATTCATCATGAAATTGCATTGTTTGCCGTGGTCTTCGTGGATTCTCCATGAAAACAAAAGCAGTTATGTGTCGTGCTTTTCTCGACATCCCTTCTTGTGGCCGTTGAATATGACTCTTTCTTCCATGACCATTCCATGCATCCGATCCATAGGTGAAGGCCTATTTCAGTGGCTTGGACATCGATCCAGACGAGACGAAGATCATCTTCACCCTGCTGGACCCCCCCCGCGATGTCGCGCGCGCGCGCGATGCACGCGATGCACGCAAGCCGGATTCGATGGCTCGCCTTCCTTTTTTCGCGAGTGAAGACGAGTGAGGAGTGGAACACAAGCAAGCAAGTGCCCTCACAGGCTGTCGGACCGGTTGGCCTGTGGCTGCCAGGGATGCATCCATAGATCAGAAGAAGTCAAACTGTATTAATGGGACTATAGGTGGTCAAATGAACCACATGAGCCAGTTTCCGGCTGAGCAAATGCCTGAGATCGACATGTCACCCACGTCGCTTTGTTTCTGTTTTTCAAACCCGGGGGTGAGTTTCCTTCGTAGGTTATGCTGCTATAGGGACGGGACCATCCGTTTCAATGCTACTTCAACCTGCACCCGAGGTTGAAAGTGATGTTTCATCCGCCCCTGGTCCTGGTGCTCGCTAGGACTCGCTTTCCCCACCTCGGTCACGCCGCCCCGGAACGGTCGGCCGCGGACGCCGCCAACGGCCAGGACTCGGACTGCAACGGTGACATCGACATCGAGGACCGGTCAGGGTTCGCCCGTCGGCGACGGCGAGGGGCCCGGGCGAAGACGGGAGAGACGACGATCGGTGGAGTGGCGGTGGTTGAAAGATCGGCCAATGGAGAGTGAAATCCGACCCTTCGGTGCCTGAAAGGAATGGTCGGAACACGAGTTGCATCGATCCTTGAGGTGTCTTTGAGTTCAATACCAAGCCTCCGGAAGATCAGGATTCCTGGACATTGTTTGATGTGGCCATAGCTAGCCTACCAGCACCGTCGCCGATAGACGAATCTACGCTACTTGGAGATCTCCATTGAGCACCCCTTTGAAGGTGCAGGTAGTCTTTCTTTTTGGATGTTTTTGGTTCTTTTCAGACATTCTTCCCGTGCACATGAACCCCTGCATTCGAGCTTGTGGACAAATAAATCTATTTACAAGAGTCAACAGGGGCTTTGGACAGTTCCTGCTGAATGAAACTCTGCTTTCCAAGAGGTTCTGGTCTTTTCCATCTCAGGAAATCTTTCAATTGCAATCAATTTTTAATAGATGTTTTTAATGTATAGGGTGCTTCTGTTTTCAGGTGGCCATTTTTGGTTGGAGAATCCGCATTTGTCCATCCATCCCTCGTTCCTTCGAGGAGTTTGTGCATGGCACCATGAAGCTCAAAGGTTATGCCGCCGGACCGCAGAAGAGCCAGCGCGGTGCGGCCGTCGGGGGGGAGGAGAACCCAACAATCAGAGGTCCGTGGAGGTGCCCGGAGGTCCACGAAAGAAGGGGGTATGTCGAAAGAATGAGTAAATCATGATAAAATCATATAAAATCCATCAATCAGACAGTGTTTGCGCCTCTTTTCGGGTTGTTCATCCAGTTTGGACCACCTGTCAAACAATCTCCTTTCAGTGGTCTTCAAAGGGGATTGGAATGTTTGTGTTTGTGTCATAGAGTCTAGGGGTTTTCCTTCGATTTCTTTGCCTTGGCGAATCTGTCGTCTAGGTCCGACAGAATCAGCTTCGTGTGCTTCTAGTGTTGAACATCATCCAGAAGGATGGGTTATGGAGGGCTTTGAGCCTATCAAAGCCCATCCAGATCGGCGACGGAGTACGTGGGAAGCACAGGATGCCGCGTGAGAGCGGAATCCGATTGGTCAAGTCGGTCATCTGACTGGTTCGGGACGCGCCCAAACGAAGATGTAGACATGGATCCCATTTGCCGGACCATGTCCATCCCGTGTCAGTACGGGGGGTTTGGTTATGACGGCCTGTGAGGGATCCATCCGGTTCAAGCTTGGAGGTTCATCAAGAGTCACCACGGTAGGGGAGAGAGAGAGAGAGAGAACGGGGAGGGCCACACCGTGACGAGTACTGAGTACTCAGCAGCTGAGATTGAAACTGAAAGCCTTGTGAAAAAGGGCGGTGTGTTTGCTCTACCAAGAAAGAGCTGCGAGTTCAGATCAGACGGCTTCCGAACTCACTGGCTCCCACGTCGACGTCGGAGTCGCGGCGTTCGAGGCCACCAAGCTAGATGTCATGGCGCTGATGTACGACGCCACCCGACAAAGCATCCGCTTCGATGCCCTGTGCGAGTTCGTGGAAAGCCGCTTGGAGGTCGAAGGGCGAGGGACATCGAGGGACAGGGGGGAGATAGAAGGTGTAAGGCGTGATGTACGGCGCCATGCTTTCGTCCTTGGACTGGAGCAGTTGAGGAAACGCGGTCGCTGTTTGTAAGTTTGGGAATTGAGAGTCCCTTGGAATCATCCTCCTCGTCCTCGTTCTCCTCCTCCCGTCCTCCTCGTCCTTCTCCTCATCATCCACTATTGCTATGCATAGTTGTGCAGGCCTCCAAACACTCAAACTGTTTAGAGGGTATCAACAGCCAGAGTGAAGATGTGTTTGGTGGGCGTGGGTGAAGATAGGCCTCCTGAAAATTCCGGAAACGATATAGAATCCCAGACTCCATGACTCCATGTATGCCATTTTTGCCGACATTGGGGTGATTTCGGGGGTCAATGTATATTCCAATAATATTCCACACATGGAGTGTTTGGGAATATGATTCATGAATGTCTCAAAATGCATCTCTTTGGTCTTTGGGTCTCGTGTTTTCGCAAGGGACATGCTGCGCGGGACTTTAATTAAGGATTCGGTGCACACATTGGCTAGCCCAACTGGTTCGGAGTGAGATCTCCGACTGCTCTTGGGAAAGGGATCCGGGCAATTACCCGGCGTGAAAGCATCGGGTCACCGGAGCGAAAAAGAAAGCGTTCACGATGATCCAAGCCAGTCTTTGAAAGCCACCAGTCTTTCCAGGCCTATGTTTTCGAAATATCATGCAATTTATTTCGAAGTCGGCCTCCTCCCAGAGCTCATGTCAAGAGGTATGGGCGGCCTTTTCTCCACTCATAGAGACTCTACGGACTCGAGGTTTGTTATGTTTTGTCCTCCAGTCTTCTCTCATCTTCTTCACCTCCTCAGCTCTCCACCTCTTCACCGAGGTCAGATGAATGAGATCATGGATCACCTGTCTCCTCGAGCGAATCGACGCGCGAGCGTTTGACCCGAGCTCGCCCGCTCGCCGGCGTCCGCCCGCCGCATCCGCCCGGCGGAGCCCCAAGGTGCAGCGAGATCGGTGCGGTAGCGATGCCCCTGCTACTATAGTAGCGTCCTTGCTCCATTCGTAGCGATGCCCTTTGTTACTAGTAGCGATGGCCTCCACCCTAGTAGCTTCTTGCTACGAATAGGAATGGGAGGGACATGTTCCCATGGAATCCTTGAGTTCCAGAGGTTGAAGATTCCCTTAGGCTTCGACTATCCGTACTATAGGTACCCCAAATGACGGGTCTTATAAGGTCAATTAAACCTCTGTTGGTTCGTAAGGAGAAGCCAATTCAGCTCCAGTTTCTTTACAAAGTTCACGTGTCCACGCGTTTCAGCGCGGAAACCGCACCCTGCGCCTTGGGCGGAAACCGCTCGCCGCTTTCACCGCCCGCCGGTCTCCGCAACACCGCCGCAAAGTGCCGCCTGGGACCCAATGGATGCCCTCAGGGTGTAGGGATGTGACCAAGAGATACCAAGACCATCCAAGACCTCATAGTACTTGTTTAGGCATGGCCATCAAGGCAAAGGCCAGGGTGTAGGCAAACGTTCGTTCTGACTCTGGTTCTTCTGGTTCATTCTGGTTCTTCTGCAAGCAACCAGGGCTCCGAACAAAGGCCCCAGGCGAGGCCTGCGAGTCCTTTTTTTGGCGAATCCGCGGGGCGTTCAGCCGAACACGTGGCGCCCGACCCGACGCCGTCGGTGCGTCGGTGCCGTCCACACGGAACCCACCCGTGCAACGCGACGCGACGCGTGCGACGCGCGCGTCACGTGTGGTCCAGACACATCTCACCGCGTGAAAACTAGTACCTGGGTTTGGCACCAAACACGACTGAAGCAGTGATGTTTCTCAGAAACCTCAAGCAAACAGACCAGAATGACCATGCGGTTTTATTGTGTTTTGTTGATTTGTGTGTGTGTTTGCTTCCATAAGGACTTGACAGGTTCGTGTCGGCAGCAGGGTTAACTGCTAAAGAACACTGTGTGTTTGCCAGACCCACCGAACCCAGAGTGGTTGCATTGAGGTCGGTCACAGCCGCTGTGGTGAGGTCGGTGAAGTCCTTGTCAACCGACGAGAAAATGCCCACAAAACGATCTGAGAACACCTGCCTACGTTCTCTCCTCGGGCTTGAGTGTCCTTGAGTCTCCTTGAGTTTCTTCAACCTCCTCTTGAAAGATCCCCCTTCGTTATGAGACAAGATCGGAGTGTGTAGCGAGGCTGACGCAAGACGTCCAAGTGGCAGTTCGGGCGAGGGTGGTTCTTTCCCGCTGCTGCCGCACTTGGTTCGCTTCCACTGCACCTGCCCATGGGGCTCATGCGAGTAGTTGTCCATCAAAGATAAACCAGAAATTCCACATTGGCACTTGTTCAAGACATCTTAGTCTGGGCAGCGCTAGCATCCCCAAAACTCCTGCATGTACGCCACACACAACCAGGCAGAAGATCACATCTTTGACCTTAGTCGATTTGAAAGTCAGAGAAGCAAATCAATTTCATGACCCGAACTTGGCCTCTTTCTATTGCCATGCTTTTAGATTTCGAATTTCCTGTTCGGACATTTGTGGAAAAAACCGGGCTTAAACATGCTTACCCACTTCATGTCCTGTTCGTTCCAGGGTCGAAATCCGTCCTCCCCAGAAGGACCGCGCTGGCCGATCGGCCTCGCTTTGCTTGGGGTCCACGGGAGGGGGGGGAGCGCCTCTGAAAGAGCCCGCCCTCCCCCCCACGCGAACGCCCCTGGCCGTGCCGCGAACGACCCGGTTTTCCCGCTCGGTCGAAGACCAAAACGGAGCTCCGGCACCGGTCCGTCGCCTCGGTCGGGTCGGGGGGGGCGGAGACGGAGACGGTGGTGGTCGGACGTGGGGACGGGGACGGGATGGGATGGGTGGAGAACGATGTGATCGCAGTCCACAGGTGGACTGAGGAGTTTGTGAAGTCAAGGCAGTGTGACATGAAGACGAGGCAAGACCGGGGCGGGCCGCACCTTGAAGTGATGGATCAGACTCCCCCCCATCTGCCTATGGTTCTACTCTTGATGACTGCCTCGAACCCCAAACAACCATAGGTCATGGTTGTTTGGGGACACATCCATTTCTTTCTGGTTGTTTGGGGTTCCAGGTGGTGGTTCAGCTCCAAATCTCCGAACGAGTTTCGTTCAGGTCGACCATCGGCGAACGGCGGCCGAAGCGCGGTTCCCGCTCGGACGCACGGTGTGGCCGGACCTCGTGGGTCGCACCCGAAGCGAAGGCTGCCGAGGGACCCGTGCTGAGGGACCCGTCCGAGGGCCTGGATTCTTAGGGAGTCACAACAGGACGCCTTCCTATCGTCACATATCGTCACAAAGGGCAACGCTACGAGCAAGAAGCTACCAGGGACGCTCCTGGCATTGCTAATTAGTAACAAGAAGCTACTAGTAGCATGCCAGTACCAGTAAACAAGGAGTCGAAATTTCGACGCTGCACTTGGTCCAGGGAATATTCTTCCCATGGAGGAAGGGTGGGAGCTCTTCGCTGGAATGATGCTGAAGGGGATTTCACATTAACTTTAGAAGTGTGTTGTTTGATTGAATTTGGGAATTTCGGTCCGGTCTATGAAATGTCCAGGAATTCTCCACTGCAGCCATCTTAGGGTGCACTTGTGGAACGTCCTGTAGTCGATTGAGAAGAAGAAAGCCATGGCTCCTCGTTCTTTCGTGC